GAGAGAGAGAGAGAGACTTTCATTTAACGTGAAGGCGTTAGAGAATCTTTTGTTCTTTTTTTAGTTTTATTTATTTATTTTTTCTTTTTTTTTGTCGATTTTCCTGGTAGATAATCTTTTCAACGTTTCTACGAAATTTTTTTTTCGTGATATTTTATGATATTTTATAATCATTTCTTTCGCAAAGGAAAATATAAAATGTAATATTTTTTTAGAAAATTGTAGTACTTTTAAATGAATATTGAATAATCCAAATTGGATTTTTATTAAATATTCTTTCCTTTAAAATTCTTTTCTAGTTTTTTACTTTCTTAATTATATTTGATAGTTTTGTTTAATAAGGAAAATATAAAATGTATATATTTTTAAAAAGAGGATGTGACGAATATTTGGATCTGTTTGTGAAGACTTATTATATTGAAGATTTGAAATCTAAATTTTTAAATCTAAATTAAATCTATTAAATACAAATTTTTAACGAATATTTGGATATATGTTTCTCTATTTATTTATCTTAAAGACAAATGTTTGAATATGTTGGGATATTCGTCTAGTTTTCATTATTTGCGTTGATGGAGATGTGGAAGGCGGATGGATAACGAACAATTGCCTGCCATTACAAGCATTTGCAGGAGTTCAAGAGGGCAATGCCGGTACATCAAACAATTCCCTGTTCATTTGTGTTACACATGTACGGTGGAAATAAACAACTATGTATATTTTCTATAAATTGATGTCAAATACTCGCAAATACTCCTTTTATAACATTTATATAATCCTTATAATTATAAGATTGATAAATTTTATATTAAGAATTCTAGTGAGAAAAATTTTAAGATTTACAATTATTCAATAAATTTTTATTATTTATTATTTAAAATCACCTAAAAATATCTACTAAAATTATTATTAAGTACTTAATATTTTCGAATAATATTTCCAAATATTTGCTAAAAACTTCTTTAAACAACAAATTATAAAGCAAGAAATCAAATCAAACACAATTAATATTATAAGATTATAAATAAAATTTATTGAATTATAAATTAAAAAAAATTGAATAAATAATTAAATAATATAAATAATAATATTATTGGATTTCATAGTTATTTAATATGTTATTTTAACAAAAAAATTGTTAAAAAAAGTTATAACAAGAAGTCGAATCTTTCTAATTCATAATTATCAAATAACTTTCTATCTATGAAAATCTATGAAAATCGTCTAAAAATATCTAAATCATCTCTAAGCATCTATTAAAAAAATCTTCCTAAATTAATTATTTATTAAAAAAATTGCTAAAGAAACAAAATTAAACATTCAATATTTTTAAAAATAGTTCCACAAGTGAACGTTGTTCCTCGATACTGGCAGCACCGTACGTTTCACAGTAGTAAACTTGGCAACAGCTGCCCCCTACACGGTCAAATCGACAAATAACTATGCGCCGACGTCTGATCAGACACAGTTCTTATTTCACTTGAGAGGTATAGTATGTCAAAACTGTCTATGTCTATTCTAAAAGTTAGATATATTCATATCTTTTTTCATATATTTTTTTCAATATAAAAAGTAAAAATTTAGATGTTTATTATTAACAAACGAAAGATATTAATATTGTTTGCTAGGAATGTCAGAAAAATTAGATATTTATTTTATATCAGTTAATAATTTCCAGAACACTTGATTATCACAATGTTCTTATATCGTGATAAAACTTTCGAAATAGAAAAAAGCAATACTTTTGTACTATTTATTAATTTCTTTAATAAATTCTCTCTCTTTTCTCTATAATATTTTTATATTATTTATTAATATAATATTAACGATTTTAATATACACTTTTAAATTATTTTTCGAATAAATATTTATTGAAGATTATTTTTTTAAGCACTATTTATTTCATTTTGATACATATTTTTTATCTTTATTCAAAACTTGATACGTATACGAGTCGAAATGTAAATTAAACATAAAGAGTCTTTTTACAACTGTAGATTTGCACGAATGAGCCTCATTCACGAAGGTTATTCGATCTTAAAACATCGATAAACGAAGGCGTGGCTCGATTGTTTGAAGTAGACAAGATAACGTAACATGAATCGAAGTGAATGGGATGTTGGATGTTGTAATTTAAGCATGTATTCTACATACTTCTCTATTCGTGTATTCTACATTTTGCATTTCAAGTATTATCCTGTTTACCATCCTTGATTGATTATAATTACCATTTTTTATCTAATCTGTTAAACCATCTGTTATTTAATTGCAAAATAAATAAAAAATGTTTGCAATTCGAGCAATCTCTATCAATCTGATTTCCATCGAGAAATTGTAAAATGTGAAAGGATGAAAGAAAAACTAATCGAAGATTGGAAAAGGGATTGGATATAACAGAATGGCCAAACAAGTTCCAGTTTTAATCGGTTGAGAGTACACTGTTCTAAACAAAATTGACGGCTCCATTCCATTAAATCATGTTTGGTATGGGATGGGAAAAAAATATAATCGAATTAACAACTATTCGAGAAAATTATCGATATCTTCTTCGATCGAAACGAAATCTATACTTTGAAAATAAATTAAAATGAAGGCAAATAATTTTACGCTTTATCACGAAACAATTTTTCTAAATTTTTTTTTAATTAGATTAATCATTACGAGACATCTCGAAACGAATCGATATAATCTCGATACATTGAAAATAAAATAGAGGAAAATAATTACGCTTTTCTACCAATTTTTCTTAGATTTTTTTAACGATTCTCGAAACGAATCGATATATCTCGATACTTCGAAAAT